GATGGTGTGGCCTTTTGTGTAGCCGCAGTCTCCTTTCGTTGTATAGAAGTTGTTTGACCTTGTTTTCGCACCCAGTCCGGAGTTTATTGTATGCATGATAATATCCAGTCGGACCGTGGACGTGGTACATTCCAGATGTTTCGTCGGCATCGTCAGTAAGCATTGCCATTCTTAGCACAACACTACAACTCGTCAAAAAGATAAGTGAAGCCGATCCTTTGACCAATTGTCGGTTAAATGATCATGTTATCTCTCCTTCCGCCCTGGACTAATTACCAGTCCTATATGCTCGTCTCACGACTTTACTATAACAATTGCTACTTGCTTATTTAAATATGATATGGTGCCCTTTTGAGCGGATTTCATGGCTCAATTTTGTTGTTTAACCTAATCAAAGCAAGCAACAACATTTTTGGGTTGGCACACAAGAGACTAGGGCATAGGAAGTCATAGACTTGCTATTCCAGATAGAAACAGGATAGACGAGGCAGAGACTAGAGCTAGTTGACTGACAGTAGACCTGTCTGAGCATAGACGTAGTTCATGAAGCAATGGCTTCATCATGAGAATTAATCGGCGACCTTAGCCTCAAGTTAGTCCCCCAGACGGAGAGTGTGAGAAATAACGCCTCGAGTAGCACAGATGGGGTGGCAGGGGTCGAGTAAAATACTACAACCAGGGAGATAGCAGACGGATCCTACGGGGCAAGAGGGTTACTCTGATAAGACCTATGGAAGGAGGACTGTGTAACAATAGGGCAGACTCTGATCCAGATTCACAGCACAAGGATGAAGGGCGGTGAGAAGGCCAGCGTGGAGTGCAGAGAGTTCTCATGAGAGCCGCTCAAAAGGGCACACCATAACACGTTTAACTAAGCAATTAAAAATTGTGATAGTGAAGGCGTGATACGAGTATATAGGATTGGTAATTCGCCCAGGGACCAAGGAGAGATAACACGATTGTTTAGCAGACAATTGCTTAAAGAATAGGCTTCACTTGTCTCTTTAACGAGTTGTGGTTTGGTGCTAAGAATGGCAATGCTCACTGACGATGCCGACAAAACGTATGGGAATGTAACACGTCCAAGGTCCGACTTTGGAAATTATCATGCATACAATAAACTCCCGACTAGGTGCGTTCCTCTAAGTCGTCCTACCAACATGATGAAGTTGCGAAAACAAGGTCAAACTACTTTTATACAACGAAAGGAGACTGCGACCACACAAAAGGCTACACCATCTTGGTCTTCATGCCTTCGATTAAACTACCAAATAAACTTATACTTTGTGTAGGTAGGAGACATTTGTTAGAATAGGCACAACTCGCTTTGGACAAAAAATTTAAGGATTTTCTCGAATAAATATTTTTTTAGCAGTTGCTCGACTTCGTTTTCGCAACTTATTTTTATTAGCAGGAAGACCTAAATGAACACACCTAGTCCAGATTTCATAGTATACATTATACATTCCAGTCGTACCGTGGACTTGGTACTGTCCCAGACTCTGGAAATTATCATGTATGCCATGGACACCGGACAAGATGCGTTCCTCTAGGTCTTCCTGCCAATATGACCAAGTTGCGAAAACAAGGTTAAACAACTACTATAAAACGAAAGGAAACCGTGACCATACAAAAGGTCATACCATCTTGGTCTTCATACCTTCGATTAATTTTTTTTTAATTCGTTAATAGCTGAATTTTCCCAAAATGACCTGAGATCCGCTGAGGGTGCTGATCTGATCTAGACGATATCGAAATTGCAGTACACCTTGGATAAGAATACCTTTTTTGGAAGCAAGGCTATGCAAAATTGAATGAAAACACGAGGCCTACTCAACTACCTAAAATGCAAGAGGGTGAACACAGTTATTAGTAAAGGTTTAAGAAAAGTCTCAAAAGCGAAGTGGCTACAAACGACACGTGAAGTGGATGCAATTGTGACAGAACAACTACATCCTCCCATAAATCATTCATATTTTCTATATTGTAATTTTAACGCATGTGATTGCGTTCTAATGTATGCAATGGTGTGGTGCGCATACAACCTTCGTAGGTTGTGTGAGGTGCTAATGTACAAGCTAGCTTTGAAGCTAATCAAGCCTGCTCGTGCTTAGCAATACTTTTTGTTCCTCAAGTTCTCTCTCCCTACTCCTACCTAACAGCCACAAGTAGTTTCCTATACTAATTCATTTTAATCAAGGTGTTTGCCGTTCTTTTGGTTTCCCTGACCTCTCTAATATTCCGCTTACTGGTACATTCTCTAAACCCTGCTGAGTATTTGGTTTTAGATTAGTCTAACTGGTGTCCTGCGTAAGCTAAATATTCGTAAAGCTATAATTTTTTGACCCACATACCTTTGCAGGATGTTCTGTGTCCAAATAACTTATTTATGTGTCGGCAGGTCTACCCCACATAGACTCCACCACATAAACCTAAAACCATGTAACAGTCCGATCTGAAAAAGTCTGAAAATTCTTAAAATGTTACCTCCAAAGATGTTATTTTCTCCCTATACAATGACTTGATATCTCACCTCAGTAATTCGCCTATCCGTTATCGTCAAGAAAAAAACATAACTACCATAGTATAGTAGTCTAGTCGTCTGTCTCGCTTTAAATATATACTTATCCCCATCCAATTTGCTAATATTCTAAAACAGTCGCCAATTATTTTTTATGGATGTGTTCTCGAAATCTTCATTAACTCCCTTAAATAATGGCCCCGATAAGTGGCATCAGCAAAATGCAGGCTATTTATTACGATGGATTCCACAACTCCTACTTTGACTCAAAAGTATGGTTTGAAAGGAAGCTTAAAAGGAAACTCGCAGTTTTTGGGTTTCCTGTACAAATCTGCTTTACTCTCTCTTCTACAGAAGGTAAATTACCATTTATAATTATATGGTGAATTTAGTACTCCAATTAATCCAATATAATATTTGCTAAATTTAGTGACAAACATGATACCACAACTAAAATAACGTATTCGATGGAGATTTTACCAGTAAGTTTAAAAGAGAAAGCATAAAATAGCCAACTAAGCTATAATATGTATCATTAAGTAGGCAAAGTTGGGCCAGAATTAGGCGAGATTACAGACGGCCACCTTTCTTGTCTTTGTGTTTAGCGAATTATTTTAGAGCATACTGGCATGCTCTTCCGAAGTCTATCATATGACATAGGAATGCTGAGTATGGATTAATATAAGCCGAGAGACGGAGCGCCGAAGAAGTATTCCCGCAAATATATTATCATAACTCCAAGGATGACCTACTTTTTATCAGGGCAAGTTAGGCTTCAACTCGCCTTCTCAAACAAAATGCCAACATCAATTCATTAAGGGTTTTCTACGAAGTATATTATACCTGTGCTCTCCATGTAGTCTGTAGAGCCATTGTAATCGGTAATGGTTTACAATAATAACCTTTAAATATCAATGATAATTAATACTTGATACAAAAATAAAAGATACTTTAGCTCAATACAAAAATGTATGCCGTATACAAAACAAATATATTTTTCCATTAAAATAGGGTGCCCCAAAATCAGCGAAAAATAGTTATGGCGAATCTTTACTTTAGTTTTAGATGCATAGCTAAGTTGTAAATTGTAATTTTAGTAGACTTGTTATATGACAAATTGAGAATGAATGAAAAATCAGCATCCTTTCAGGAGCCCATATAATCGAATTAACCTACACATAAAATAGGAATAAAAGAAAAGGGGTAACAGCAGAAAGCAAAGAAACTCAAATGTGACCCTTTAAATCTATTACTAAAAGAGCACCAAGTGTGACTATAATAGGCCCAGCTCACTTGATCTTTGGACTCCTTAATAGAGTACGGTCCACTAAGCTCATTTGACTTCAAGGCAACGGGCTGAGGCTCTGTGAAGCGACTGGTTTTGATATCCCTATCAAATGGTCGACGGAGAACTTCGAGGAGATCGGCCGCTGGTTGACAATTGCCTTTTTCTGCCGAGCGTATCACTTGTTCTGCCAGGTGGTTGCGCAACACCACTGAAGGATTTGCAAGGCGAGCCCTCTTCCAGCATTCGAGGATGTGGGCACAAAGTGGGTTGTTGGCTAAGCCCGAAACTGCTAGTTCAGCACCCTCAGCTATGTCCGGACCACCAATTCGACCATCATAAAATGGGTATACTCGTAATTTTTTCAAAATCTGATAATCCGTTGAGTCAAGTTGTGATAAAGACGCCAAGCAATTATCACCAAGTGTTGCTTTGGATTCGGGCAGGCAGCTAATCAAGCGCTCTTTATAGGCCTCAAGCCAGGTTGACCAAGCGGATAAACCGGAATTGCGTTTTTTAGCCTCCGTCATTCCCTAAAGATAAATATTTATAAATTTTTAACCTGATCAGACATAATAGTCATGAGACGATGAGCCATAGTAAAGAAATAGTAATTAAATTGATACGACAGGAAATGAATTTGAATGAGATTTACCAGCACTGGGCTAGTACCTAGTGACCAAGTATAGAATATGAATATGTGAATAAGATATGTGGAAAAATATAAAAAAGCCTTGTCACATTTTTTAATTCATAAGTTCTCACAGATGGCTGAGATCATAAAAAAGAGCCTAAAAGTAAAATTACAGCTTTACAAGCCAAGCTGGTCGAGTATCAAGAAAAATGTTGGCATAATGAGCGAGAAAATTAAATATGGAGAGTAAGCCCATGGAGAGGGCTGGTCGTAAGGCGAGCAGAAATGCTTTGAGTTATTACATGAAAAAGATATAGTTCATTAGGAGATATCATCGGCCTTGATGCAATATTATTTTATGCTAAACTTTTGGGATGCAATTATAATTTTGTCGATTAAAGCTCACTGAGAGATATTGGACATGTATTATGTAAACGTTGAAAAGCAGCATGACAACAGGATTTAGGATTAATTAAAGGTCCTATAAAGTAATTAATTAATTATATCCATTTAGATTAAGCTAAACATTGGCAATTTAATATATTTGACAACACACTATGTTTATTAACTTGCTTCATATTGAGTTATGTAATATGGGCATGATCGATAATAATAATAATAACTAGGAAAGCAGTATTACAAACGCATAGTATCTCCTTGTAAAGGTAAGCGTGTTTAGCTACAGACAAATCGGTAACAGGAAAGGCAAAGAGCTTATTGAAGATATACAAGACCTAAGATAAAATTGTCTCTTTTTTAGTCCTAATTAACATTAAGTGATTAAAAAGGCGATTTTGACTTTATTTACTAAGTTTATTACAAGATATAGCATTAAATCCCAGAAATATTTTAGAGGTAGATTATTTGTTTGTGCGCCAATGCAAATGGCTATGATATGCATATGAAAATAATTGATATGATAATGCATGACAATTCATATTTGGATATAATTAGTGAGAATCTCTTCATAAATAACTATAGATATATAAGCATTAAAAAAGCGTAAAAAAAATCATTTTTTTATGTAAGCTCTTTAGGATAGGTCATATTTTTGCTTCCGCAATGTTGACGCATGTAAATGTATCCCACTGCATGTGTCGTATTCATGCAATGCTCGGGAATTGCGTGAGGTACTAGAGGACCCAGTAGCACAAATTTACCATCCCAGCCTCAAGGCAATCGCTCTACAGTTTCCGGTGAGACCAGTACACGGATCCCTTCTACTCATCTTTTCAAACGAAATGAAGGGTACTCCATTATTTATTAAAGGATCCTTCAAAAGCCAATTTTTTTTACAAAATCTTGGTTTCTTTCATTTATAAGGAGGTTTTAGAAACTACCAGTAGGCCACTTACCTATAAAGTATATTTACCATATTTTGTCCATTGATAAGGGGACGGTAGTTGAATTTTACCCATAAGGATATAAGTAGACTTCACATTTTTGTTGAATTTAACATAACCTTGCTTTTCCAAGAGGTATTCTCATTCAAGGGCGGCTGCAGTTTCGACCTTGTCCAAGTCTTATCAACAGCCCAAGCACGACCCGCACCATGACAGTGCAACGTATAATCTCGAAACGTTAACCATTACGCCACATTAGCACGAGTGTCCTAATGAAAAGAATAACTTTTGGAAAAACAAGAGTATGTGAAATTTAATGGAAATGTAGGGTCTACTCATATTAGTGGGAAAAATTCAACTACCAGTCCCCTTACACCTTAAACAAAATAGGGTGAATACACTTCACATATAAAATCCTGGTTGTCTGGCATCCAACAGTCCACTGATCTTAACTACTTGAATTAACCTAAATGATGCCCTTTAAAAGGATACCTTTTAGAAAAATTTTAATTGAGTTTGGTTTTCTCTAGTATTCAATCACTTTGAATTTTACAAGCATTTTGGGTATTATTCAGAACTTTGACGAATAGGGCGAACCTAAATTATTAGTTAAAAATTGGAGTATCTTGCATTTGGGTTGAAGAGGCGAGTAAAAGGGATTCGTAAGTTGGCTCCACCGGAGGCTGTGGTGGGATTGCCCTAGAGCTGTGTTTGTAATTGTGTGCGAATAGGTCCTCAGCTCACCGAGCAGCTGCTCGATTTCAATTGCGCCCATTTTATGCTTAATCTATAGCCACTTGACATGTCATATGTAGCCACTTAGCTTAACTTATAAGCAAATAAAGAGGCAAAGGCTAAGACAACAAAATTCAAGCTAATGAGTCAAGAAAACTCTAGACTCGTTAGCTTGAATTTTGTTGTGACTATGATACCTAGCTCTGATTATGTTCGTCATATGACGGACAAAAGCTTAGCATCTTTTCACCGGAATCGAAGGAAACAGCGTCAGCAGGAATCTTCCAGTAAAGCCAATCGACAGCTAGTCGTCGTCTTTTGCTGGAACCGACCTTCGAATCTCTTCACCCAACACTTTCACTCGAAATGGAAGTAGGCTCAACAAAGCATAATACATCCAAACAAAACATGAGATGCATTAGTAGACCAAATTGGAATATAAGAAGGAAGTAGATTTAAAGCCGGACACCTTTCTTGCCTTCGTGTTTTGGGTAAATTATCGCTGAGCATGGTGTCCTGCTCTGGCGATGTCCGTTACATGACGAACGAAAGCTCAGCAAGGATTCATCGGGATCGCAGGGCGGTGCGCCGCAGACCTATTCGCACAAATCTACAACCACAGCCCCAAGGCAACCCCCCAGCCTTCGATGCAACCAACTTACGAATCCCTTCCACTCGCCTTTTAAAATGAAATAATAGGTATTCCAACATGAATCTATTAAGGGATTCTTCGAGACCCAGTTTTTCTAGATACCTAAATAGTTAAGTATATGTGACATGACTTTCCATTTCGAAGGAAAAGTTGGCTAGAAAATATTCGTGCTGTGGTCTCATTATGAACTGAAAGAGGATTGCCGCGTAGGGAAGACTTTTGTATTGTGCGAAGAAGTCATCGGTTCACTGTCCTGCGACCTTAATGATAGTGTACTATGATTTCGACTGTACTGTGACATACATTAGAGCAAGAATCCATATTTTACCAAATTAAGCAAAAGTATGTTATACCAAGAGAAAAGTTGGAGTAAAACGTACAGTGAAACTAGAACAGAGTGAAATCGGTCAACCAGAAGGATAAGAAACGGATCTACGGGACTATGAGGGAGATCCGGATAGGAGGCCCGAGTAAGATTAGCCGATCGAAAGAGAGGGGGACAAGGTGAACAGCATGTGTGATGAGGCCAAACCAAAATTGCCAAAAATGGCACATCTTTTGACGAGTGTAATGAAAACAAGTCAGAAGTTGTGATAGGGCGGGAATGTGATAAGATAAGGAATAAATAGATTGGTTAGGATAGAAAGAGGATTGATAGTGCAACCGTTTCGGCAGAAACTTGGTCGAGAGAGTGACTCGAATTGTCTTTGACAAGTTGTAGTCAGGCGTCGAGAATGGCGAGATTCGCTGATGATGCCGACCACCATGCTGGCGAAACGTTCGATAATGTATCAAGTCCACGGTCTGATGCTGGGAATTATGATAACTATTATGGAAGAGGACATTGGACAAAGTGCCAACTAAGTCGCTCTGACAACAAAAAGAAGTTGGAAAAACGAGGTCAACCCAATCCTATAAATCGAAAGGAGACTGCGACCACAACGAGCGCCACACCATCTTGGTTCGCATACTTTCGATTACTCCAAAAGATGTCAAATATATCCCATATATGTAATGGGAGTAGGCTATTACCTCTGAACTAATAACTAAATTCACTAAAAATTATTAACTTAATAGAAGCATCTTGAACCAAATCTGATATTTAAGTGCAAACCTGCAGATGAAGCTCTTCCTGATGATTCTCCAGATCTTGGGATGCCTTTGTCACAGTTAGTTGTTTCGGTTCATCCTTAGATAGACACCAAATCCATTGGAACCCACTGTAGTAGAATGTACAAATAGACAGAGGGTCAAACAGATTGACATAAATGAATATAGAAGAATATGGACAGCCAAGTAAATTAATGTAAAATATGAGTTTGTCTTCGATGTATGAATTTCCAGTAAAAATTGTGGAAGATATAGAGGGAAGGAAAAATATAAAAATATGAAAGTATTAACCTTCGGAAGAAAAACGAAAATTAAACGAAGTTAGGGGAGGTTGATGAAGCAACTCCATGCATCCTATCTTATAAAAATTAGAGCTGAGAAATATCCTAATGAAAGGTATGAAGACCAAGATGATATAGCCTTAGTATTGTAAAATACTGCACGATATTGTAAATGTACCATAAAGAATAAACAATATGAAAAATCCGTATAAAGAAATGTAGAAAAACTGGGTTCCAAATAATATCCTAGTACAGTGATTCCCAGTGTGCGCCGCAGTGCCCCGGGGAGCCGCGGCCTCTTTACAGGGGCGCCGCAAAATATTGTAAAAGCTTCAATTTGAGAAAATGTGCAGTGATTTGCAGGCTCATCCATCACATTAATTATTCAATATTAATATAATGTTAATAAAGTAAAAAATTATGATACACGAGTTTTATCTATTTTTATCTCTTACTTACGAATTCATATATAGGGCAGGGCGACATGGAAAAATTTTAATTGAAAAAGGGCGCCGCAACTGGGAAAAATTTGGGAACCACTGCCCTAGTAGATTCATGTTGGAGTACCTTTGATTTCACTTGAAGAGGCGAGTGGAAGAGATTCGTAGGTTGGCTCCTGCTCTGATGATGTCCGTCACATGATGGCTGAAAGCTCAGCAAGAATTTATCGGGGTCACAGAGAAGTGTGCCGAGGACCTATTCGCACAAAGCTACAACCACAGATCCAAGG